CATTAAGTTTTATGGAAAAAACACATGAACAATTAAAAAACAGGTACACTAAAAATATTAAAATCGAATAGATTACAAAGTAGTTACTGACTTTCATCATTTTCCAGATGCCTTTTCATCCAGTCGGGCGGGCTGGACACTGGCTTTCCCGCTATGGTACGCTTCTGTTCGTACTCCAGGCATGCCTGAAGTCTATTCTCCATTGCCTTGAACAAGTAAAGTTCTCGCTGCAGACGGACCACCTTATTGTCCGACACCGGAGGAAAGTCTTCCAGTGGCCAGAACCCATTTTGCACGAAGAAGTCCTTGTCCTGGGAGGTCCGCGGCGTCACGTGAAGCGTCATGGTGGCGTCCAGACCAGGAGACGACAGCAAGGACGACGCTGTGGAGTCCAGCTCAGCTACGCCCGAAATATCCACCACTCCGGAGGGGCGCGTGGACGACGCCGTGGACGACGCCGTCGAGTCCAGCTGAGCCACGCCCGATATCTGCAAAGCTCCGGAGGGACGCGTGGAGTCCAGCTCGGTTACGACCGACGTCTCCCAGACGTCGGAGGGGCGCGAGCGCGCATCCGAGGGCTTCATGCCCGGCATGCGGATGGTAGGCTTCACTGCGATCACCTTGCGCGGAGCGGCTGGAGACGAGGACAACGCGGCGTCGCAGGCTAATGCAGCACCGTGTGCCAACGCGTCACTGAAGGCCGAGGCTGAGCTGGGAGCCGAGGGGGCGTTAGGGGCCAAAGTAGAGCTGGGGGCCGAGGTAGAGCTAGAGGTCGAGGCGGAGCTGGGGGCCAAAGTAGAGCTGGGGGCCGAGGTAGAGCTAGAGGTCGAGGCGGAGCTGGGGGCCGAGGCAGAGCTGGGGGCCGAGGCAGAGCTAGAGGCCGAGGCGAAGCTAGGGGCCGAGGCGAAGCTAGGGGCCGAGGCAGAGCTGGGGGCCGAGGCAGAGCTGGGGGCCAAGGCAGAGCTAGAGGCAGAGCTGGGGGCCAAGGCAGAGCTAGAGGCCGAGGCGGAGCTGGACGGTAAGGCGGCGCCAGAGGTCGACATGGGCGCGGTGACGGCCTCGCGGGGCTGCCGTTGGTGTGCCTCGGGAGTACCCCCTCCGGCCAGCCGGGTGGAGGAGGAGGCGGTGGTGATGGAAGGGGCGTTGCTCCTGACGAACGGGCTGGGCGCCGCGGACTTGGAGAGCGTCATTGTGTCCGCCCTGATCCTGGTCCTGGTGCCGGCAGCCACCGCAGCCGCCGCTAAGCTGACGTGCTGACCAACGTGACCGCTACTTGAGCCTTTGACGGAGACAGCCGAGGGCACCGGGGTGTCCGGGGGCCTCCTGGCCGAGGACGCGGATCGCTGCTCGCGGGGCCCGGCCGCGGCCGCGGCGGGGCGCTTGGTGAGGGTGGCTGGCAGGGACCTCGCGGTGGCGGTGGTGGTGGTGGTGGGCCTTGGTGCGGGGGTGGGTGCTGGCGCGGGCGCCGCCCGGCCAGGTGCAGGGGCTCTTGGTCTGACGGACGAAAGTTTGCCGGCCGCTGCCACACTAGGGATGTGGGTGCCAACAAGAGCGATCCGGGGCAGGACCTTCTGCCTCGAGGGCCGGGGCGCCGGGGGGATCTTGGACAAGGGGGCGGCAGCGGACGGAGTTTTGGTGGTTTTGACAGCGGCAGAGGGCGCCGGCGCCGTGGTTTTGGTCGCCACGTCCCGGACCGCCTGCCTTGACTTGGACGTCGCCCTCGTCCACGCCAGCTGTCCATAAGATGCCGACGATGTCGACGGCCCGGCCGGGGTCTGCTTGGACGTCTGCGATAGACACGGTAAATTGCATATATAAGAGCAGGGCATTGCACACACTCACTGGTAGATTAAAAATTTCAGCCATGACTGCTACGCCAAATCGAACGTGTTGCCTCAGATAAAAAAGGGGGGCGGGAGGGAGCATGTGTGTACTCACCGACATAGTGACAGCGACACGGACAATCACAATCCTAGAAGCACGAAATTTATGAGGTGGAAAATGTTGTCCTCATCGGCCGGGCTCGCAAATGTAGACTTCTGAGGAAAGCACATGTCAACGATTCATTCATTTGAAGCAGGTGACATGGAAAATCCATGGAATAACGTCGCACGAAACTGTGAGACGTAAAACCAATATTCGCTTGCTTTGAAAGGTACTCCGCTGAAGCTGTGGCAAAAGAAATTGACTCACAAATTTCGGATGGTTTGTTGACAGTGCGTGCGCTGGGCCCCCTGCCCTTCCCACGGCGAGCGAGCAAATGAGCGGAAATGATCTAGCAGACGATTCAGCGGCCCAAGAAATTTTCATCTAGAGTGCGCCACCTGTGTTTTGTTTTTGTCGTGCGTTGCGTCGTTGGTGCGTTCCTGTCGTGCGTGGGGCTCTGTCCACCTGTCAGTAAGTTTTGTGCTTTTAGATTTCAGCGAAGAGCTTTGTTCTTGGAACTGATTGGTAATTTCTCGTCCCTGGGAATGTCTCGAGAGGTTATCACAGAATAACTATAATATTTCGTGTGTTCTACTTTTAAATGAAGGAGTCATGTGCGTCTAGGTTATGAGTAACTAGGTCTGCTCTCCGAGACCCGTGAACTAGGTGTTCAGTAGTACGCTCATTGTGCTCAAAGGTAGATGTGACTTAGAAATAGAAATCTCAAATAAGGTCCAGCTTTAAAGGCGGAGCGGAAGCGTTGCAATGTATAAGTGCAAGTAGGCATGCACAAATTTTCCCGCCCTTTTAGAGGTCAAAGTTTTACACATTTAACTGAGTCAATGTTTAGGCGATGATATCTTGATGCTTTTTTATTGGGGCCAATTTGTAGTCTTCGTCCTTCGTCGCCACCACCCCTTGAGAAATGCAGAGCTGCCCAGATATCGAGAATTTTGCTACCCCCCTTTCCCCCTTCCCCCGACTCGAGCTGCCGCGGCCGGCCCGTCCCGGCCGGGCCGGTCCGCAGCAGAAGCGAAAGAAATGGCTTCTCTAACGAGAACACACGTCGAGCACCTTTTATGAAGCTTGAACAAACTTATAAATCACTGATGCCGCGCGCTGCGCCCCGGGGCCCGGGGCCATGCCGAGGCGCGCCGGCGGTACTCCCCGCGCCAGGGAGCGTGGCTCGGGGCGGTACGTACCCCGCCCCGCCCGCTGGACTCGGCCCGCGATTTGTTACACGCAAGTGAGCCCCTTGGGTGCCAGCAATCACCCCCCGGTCACCGCGGCCCCCTCCTCGCCTGCACCGCAAGGAAGGCCTTCCCTCCCGGCCCCTCTCTCTCTCTCCCCGCAGGTGACCTACACGGTCAACATTTTGACAGCCGTGCAGTGTCAAATTTTCCTTGGGCATTCCCTCTCTAAGCCCCAATAGACCATCATTGCCGGGTTAGGTGATAAGAAGAAAAGAATAACAAACCAGAAAAGCACTGCCTTCTAATCGCTCCCCACCCTCCGTCCCTCTTCACCCCTCGCCTGATTGTTTCCTGTTTCGGTTATTCTTTTCTTCTTCTTGTCACCAAAACTGAAATTGTCTACTGGCGTGTTTGATAATCTTTGGATGAGAAATGCCACGCGGCGGAACTTCGTCGTTGTTGTAACTCTTGTTGGAGTTGGTGGAGCACGGCGCGGAAGTGGAGCAGGCCCAGCTCCGGACACACGCGCGTAAACGGAGGTGGTTTGCGCCTCTTCGGGTGCTGCGGGTCCCTGCTCGGGGTTGCAATGAGGGGGGGGGGGGGGGGAGGGGAGCGGGCAGAGCAGGCCGCCCTGGTCCCGGTGTGGTCAGCACTATCAACGGCGGCGAAAAAGGGTGGCTGAGAGAGACAACAGATTTATCACCGGGACCGGTTCGGCCGTTGCTCCGCCCGCAGCAGCGCCGCGCCGCGCGTCCCTCGCCACCACCCCTCCTCCTCCTCCCCCTCCCCGCACCAGTCCCTCCCTCCCTCCCCAAACTGCCCCAAAACCTTTCTATTCAATATTTGTAATGGAGTCATGTCGTACAGTGCCACCGCTGCTGCTGCTGCTGGTGTGTTTGAAGGGATGGTGCTAAATTCACACAGGCTCTGAAATGTCATATGGCACTGCCACCCCCGCCGCCCGCCGCGCCGGGCCGGGCCGGGCGGGCGGGTGGACGGCCCAGTCCGGCCCAGTCCCCATTCCGGCCAACCTGAATGTGAATCACCAAGCAGCTAAATGCCTCTTCGGTTGTCGCCACCAAGAGTGTGGTCGGAGAGCCCAACATGAGCTCTCCGACCACACCCTTGGTGGTGGCGACAACCGAAGAGGCGCGCGCTTTCAAGCCTGGAACCTCTCGAACAAACGGCAGAGGCCCTGGAGAGAGGTTCGGCTTGGCATTAATTGCAAGCGGCAAGCAAGCGGTGGCGGCAGCTCGAGCATCGGCAGGCCGTGCCCGCCGTGCCCGTGCGATACTTTGGGGATCACGTTACAGGCTGACCAACAAAACAAGCCAGGTCCTCCTCTCCGCTGCGAGCAGGAGGAGGGAGGAGGTGTACATTGTCGCACGCACCGCACGGCGGTGCTGTGCAGTTGGTACAGTCCGCTCCCGCACCAGCAGGCGCGGACCAACCTGTCGCGAACGGTTCTTTTGGACAACCAAGAGTGTTGACGGGTTCAAGAACCAAATACGCGACCCGCTCAAAGAATGTTCGTTTATCGTCGGGTGCATCGTAGATGCGGATAAACGCGGCTCCATTTTCAAACTCGCAGTGTCGTGGTATATGGAAATAAGCCGAAAATGAAACTGGCTCCAACAGCTCACTTCTCGGCGACGCGCGCATAGTCGGCCAGGTGCGAGTGTGCATGTGTGCGCGAGTGCAGGCTGCCTGCAGCACGGGAGCGAGACACACGACCACAGGCGCACGCACACACACGAGTCGTGTGACGCGAAAACGCATTCCATAAATCGAGAGGCGGTGTGGAAAAGCAATACAAGGCTGCTCATGCCATGGGACTAGAG